GTGGTTTGTTACACAGCAAAAAGTAAATGAAGGTCTACACATGTTCTAGTATACTAGACTCTGTCAAATAGTTTTTCAAAGTGGCTGTATAAATTTACACTCATGCCAGCATTGTATAGAAATTCCAGTTGCTCTTCATCTGTAACAACATTTGATATTGTAATTCATTTCTATTTGAGAAATTCTGATGAGTATGTATAATTAGATATGCCTTTTCATGATATTAATGACATTGAGCACATTTTCATGTTTACTAGCCACTTGAATTTCCTCTAACTTGAAAGTCTTGTTCAATATTTTGTGTACTAATAGGGATACATGTTTTTATTATTGATTCATAATGTTGTATATAACAAGAATATCAACACTTTATTGGTTACATGTACTTCAAATATCTTATGTGACTTTGCAAATTTCATTTTCACTCTATTAAAGATGTCTTTTGACTAACATGTTTGCCTATTTCTTAGCTCTCACTTACAAGTAAGTTTATGTGGTATTTAACTTACACTTGCTCTTCTTTAAGATAACTTTTGTTCTCTTTGACTTCTTGTATTTTCATATTTCATACCCCTAGGCATAGTAATTCTTTCTGTTGACATAGAGAAATAGAATTTATTTTTGTGTTACAACTTTGCATAGGGCAATTGTATAAATACATTTCATTTTAAATTATTATATTTACCTGCATATTCTCATAGAATTTCATTTTTGTGTCACTGTACTGTTTATCTATGTATTAAGGTATAATTGACAGAAATTATATATATATATTTTATATACAATGTGAAGTTTTGATATACAAATACGTTGTTCAGTAATTGGCACAATCAAGCTAATTAATATATCTGTCACCTCACACAGTTACCTTTTTTTCATGTGTGTGTGGTGAGAATACTTACTCTCTCAACAACTTTCAAGTATAAAATATGTTATTGACCATAGTCAACATTCTGTACACTAAGTACCTAAAACTTTTCATCTTATAACTGAAAGTTTGTACACTTTGACCAAAATGTTCTCATTTCCCCCACCTTCTTGCCTCTGGCAACCACTCTTCTACTCTCTGCTCTTATAAGTTTAAATATTTTAGATTCCACATATAAGTTAGATCATGAGGTATTTATCTTTCTGTGTCTGATTTATTGTACTTAGCAAAATGTCCTCTAGTTTCATCCATGTTGTGAATGGCAGCACTTCCTTCTTTTTAAAGGCTGAATAATATTCCACTGTAAAAAATATATATATACCACATTTACTTTAGTCCTTTGTCTGTTAAAGAACATTTGGTTGTTTCATATCTTAACTATTGTAAATAATGCTGAAATGAACATGGGAATTCATATCTCTCTTTGAGATAGTAATTTTATTTTCATCGGATACATACTCAGAAATGGAATTGCTAGATCATATGACGGTTTTATTTTTAATTTTTTGAGGACATTCTATACTGTTTTCTGCAATGGCTGTACCAATTTACTTTCCCACTAACTATGTATGAGGTTCCCTTTTTTTCCTTTGCATTCTTTCCAACACTAGCTATCTTTCAATTTTTTAACAAGAGCCATTCTCATAGGCACGAGGGAACATATGATTGTGGTCATCTGCATTTCCTTGATTAGTCAAGTTGAACACCTTTTCATACACCTTTTGGCCATTTGTTTGCCTTCTTTGGAAAAATATGTCTACTCAGATCTTTTAACCATTTTAAAATGTTATTTATTTCTATTTCTATTGAGCAATATGAGTTCCTTATGTATTTTGGATATTAACCCTTTATCAGCTGTATGGTTTACAAATATTTTTTCTCCTTCTGTAGGTTGTCTTTTCATCTTGTTGATTATTTCTTTTTCTGTGTCCTTAACAAATTAAGGATAGAAGAAATGTACCTTAGTATAATATAGGTCATATGTGGTAAGCTCACAGCTAACCTTATACTCCATAATAAAAATGCTTTTCTTATAAGCTCTGGAACAAGATAAGGATGTCTATGCTCATCAGTTCTACTTAACACAGTACTGAAAGTCTTCGCGAGAGCAATTAGGGAAAGAAAAGAAATAAATGTCATCCAAATCAGAAATAAAGAAGTAAAATTATTTCTGTTTGAAAATTACATAGCACTATATCTAAAAAATAAAAACTTCACCATTAAACTAATAATACTGCAAAATGAACTCAGTAAAGTTGCAAGGTACAAAATTAACATATACAAATAATTCTATCAAAAAGATTTATGCATTTGTATGGTCATTGCCATGCTATTCACAATAGCAAAGACATGGACTAAACCTAGAAGCCTATCAATATTGAATTGGATAAAGAAAATGTACATATACACCATAGAATACTAAGCAGCCATAAAAGAAACAATATCCTTTGCATGAGAGATAGCCTTTGCAGCAGCATAGATGCAGCTAGAGGCTAAAATCCTAAGCAAATTAATTCAGGAACAGAAAACCAAATACTGCATGTTTCCAGTTATAAGTGGTAGCTAAAATATTGAACACACATGGGCATAACGTAGGAACAATATTCACTGCAAACTGCTAGAGGGGGAAGTGAAAAAGGGTGTCATGGGTTGAAAAACTACCTATGCAGTACTATGCTCACTAGCTTGGTGATGTACTCCAAAGCTTGGCATTACATAGTATACTCATGTAACAAGACTGCACATATACTACCTTTATCTAAAATTAAGAAAAAAAGAAATTTAAAATATTGGTTGCATTTCTATATACTTACAGCAAACTATCTGAAAAAAAAACATTAAAAGTACCATAAAAATAATGCAATATTTAAAAATAAATTTAAGGAGATTAAAAATCTATAAACTGAAATCTACAAAACATTGATGGAAAAAATTGAGGAAGACAAAATAAATGGAAAGATATACTATACTCATGTACTGGATTAATTAATATTGTCAAAATGTCCATATAGCTCAAAGTGATCCACAGATTCAATGAAACTTGTATCAAAATTCCAGCAGCATTTTTCACAGAAATAGAAACAGAATTCTAAAATTCATATGGAACCAGAAAATGTTCTAAATAGTTAAAGAAATCTTCAGCCAAAAGAACAAACCTGGAAGAATCACTCTCTCTGATTTCCATTTATATTATAAAGCTACAGTAGTCAAAACTGTGTGGTTCTGCCATAAAAGCAGACACACTGATCACTGAAACACAATAGAGAGCCCAGAAATAAATTCATGCATCTATGATTAATTGATCTTTGTCAAGGGCACAAAGGATACACAATGGGGAAAGGACAGTTGCTTCAACAAATGGTGCTAGGAATATGGGATCTCCACATGCAGAAGAATGAAACTGGACTTTTATACCACACACAAAAAATCAACTCAAAATTGATTAAAGGCTTAAATGTCAGACTTAATTAAAGGCTTAAACTGTAAAATTTCTGGAAGAAAACACAACGGACAAGTTCTCTGACATTGGCTATGGCAGTGGTATTTTAGATATGATACCAAAAGTAAAGACAACAAATGCAAAAATAAGAAACTGGGACTACATCAAACTACATAGGTTCTGAACAGCAAAGAAAACAATCAGTGGCCGGGTGTAGTGGCTCATGCCTGTAATCCCAACATATTGGGAGGCCACTGCAGGTGGATCACCTGAGGTCAGGAGCTCGAGACCAGCCAGGCCAACATGGTGAAACCTCATCTCTACTAAAAATACAAAAATTAGCTGGGTGCGGTGGCAGTTGGCTGTAATCCCAGCTACTCAGGAGGCTGAGGCAGGATAACTGCTTGAATCCGGGAGGCAGAGGTTGCAGTGAGCTGAGAACATGTCATTGCACTGCACCCTAGGTAAAAGGAATGAAACTCCATCTCCAAAAAAAAAAAAGAAAGCAAGCAAGCAATCAGCAATATTATGATGTAATTTCTGTTACAAGCAGCAACTACTCTTTTGTGTGTTTTCCTTATATTAAGAAATATCTCTAATAAAAATATTCAGTAGAAGCAGAGATAGTGGGCACTGTTGTCTCATTAATGATATTAATGGAAACATTTCCTCTATTTTATCACTATTATAAATTTTCAAAGATACTCTCAAATTAATATAGTTTCTACTATTTTCAGTTTTATGTTTGAGAGTAAATAAAAATTAAAACCCAGGTCTTTGTGACTTCAAAGTCTGTGTTTTCTATTCTATCATCGACCTCTTAGAACTTTAATCACCACCCCCTCATTTTCCAGAAGTAAATATTTACTGCATATATTTCTTTATATCTATGTATGTATGTATGTATGTAGATCCGGGGATAGGGAAGGATCAGGAGATATGAATAGTGACCTATCCCAATTCAAAGATATCTGAAGTAATTTATCTTTATTTTTCTAAGTTATTTCTATTATTTATATTACTATGTATATAGAGGGTTTATACTGTAAAATCAAAATGTGATGTAAAGCTCATCTAATATTGTTGTTTTATGGAAGAAGAAAATGAGGCTCAAAAAGATTAAACCATTGCTTTAACCCATTTCCTGTTTGCCCTGAGAATACTGTATTGGCACAGAACTCCACTTTTTTTTTGTAAACAGGAAATGGGTTAAACTTTATACACACACACACACACACACACACACACACACACATATACTTTCTCGTATGTACACACACATATGTGTTTACGTGTATGTTTATATAAGTTTAATAAAAAATAACTGCAATAAATTATTTCTAGAAAATATTCATCATAAAAGGAGTATTAACAGTCCAGGAATTCTAAAAAAGATAATGCAGCATTTGTAGCGTTGATCTGACAAAACAAGTATTTGCAATGCATAAAAACAATGTAGCTTGTGCTCTTGAAAGTTTCAATATTCACATAATTTTCTGGAGACCAATTGGTATAACTTTTGCACTGGATATAGGCTAATTTGAAAAAGAAATTTTCAATACAAACAATCAAGGTCACCTAAAGTCCTTCTTTCTTCCTTTTTTTTTTTTTTTCTGTCAAGGAGTCTTAAGAAAAGGACAAATATGTTTATAGAACTGAAGTTCTAGCTAGGAAACTTTCATGAATATAATTTACTGCCATATCTGCCCACTCATACAGTTTTGGAATATGAGTATCTACTCAGAACCTTTCTCAGAGCCATCTTTACTTCTTTATTTCTCAGTGTGTAGACAAGAGGGTTGAGTAGTGGGGTAATCACAGTATAAGTCACTGCCACAAGCCGGTCCTTATCTGAAGAGTACAGGGATGTGGGCCTCAAATAGATAAAGGAAGCACAGCCATAGTGGACAATGACCACTGTGAGGTGCGAAGCACAGGTGGCGAAGGCTTTACGCTGCCCTTCCACCGAGGAGATCTTGAGGATGGTGGAAACTATGAAGACATAGGAGATGAATATCAACACAAGGGGAACCAGCAATACCAGAATGCTGAGGAAAAAGATGACCATCTCCTTCAGGTTGGTATCTGTGCAGCCCAGTTTTAAGACAGGGGAAATGTCACAGAAAAAGTGATTGATCCTATTGGAGGCACAGAAGGGCACACTGAACACCAGGATATTGACAATCACAGAGATCAGGAAGCCACAAAAGCTGGAGGCTAGAATCAACTGCATGCAGGTGGCTCGGCTGACAATGAGTGTGTAGTTAAGAGGGTTGCAGATGGCAACATAGCGATCATAGCCCATTACAGCAATGAGAAAACAGTTGGTACAAGCCAAGCCCACAAAGAAATAGAGCTGGACTGCACACCCAGAGAAAGAAATAGTTGGAATTGCGGATAGCAGGTTGGTTAGCATTTTGGGTACAATGACCAAAGTGTAGCACGTTTCAGAGCATGAAAGGACAAAGAGGAAGAAGTACATAGGAGTGTGCAAAGCCCTGTCCAGGCGAATGACTGTCATGATGGTGGCGTTGGCCATCAGAGTGGTCAAGTAGACTAAAAGAAAGATAAAGAAGAGAAGGAGCTGCAGATCTCCCAGGTTTGAGAAGCCTGTAAGGATGAACTCGGTAATCATGCTCTGGTTCTGTCTCTTCATTGGTCAGTGGAATTAGACTTAGGTAACCTGAAATTGAGAGGAGACAGAATTTGACAAAAGTGAAATGACCCTAGAGAAACTCAGTTTGCATTTTTTTTTAAAAAGCTGACAATACTGGTCCGAAAAAATATGTAACACATATTAAGTACATAGATCAGGGTATATGGAAGTATCAAGGAACATGAATTGTGACATACCCCAATTCAAAGATACCTGAAATTATTTATTTTTACTTTTGTAAGTTATTTCCATTCTCTGTATTCCTATTTGCCTAGAATGTTCATACTGTAAAATCAAAATGTGATTTAGACCTTATCTCATTAAATACTCTCATTTTAAGAAAGAAGAAAATGAAGCTCAAAAAGATTAAACTATTTGCTTACTCACATGACAGTGATAGTCCTTAAAAATCATTTATCTTTGCTAACACCTTATACAAATCTGATTCAGAAAAACAAAGCAAATAAAAAGTGATGTACCCAGTCTCTCATATACGTAACTCAAATAATGCTTGTTCAGGCATAGATAACTATTTTAATTTCCTTAAAAGTATTCAGATTCTATTTACCCATGATCAGTTGTGAAGACTTTGGGATGGCTCACATATTGGGGTTTCCCTTGTCATGAGTGCATGGGAATCTGAGATTAAGAATCGAATTAACCTCAGAGCATTATGAGGCTTGAGCATTATGAGACATGGGCTGAGATCTCCACCCTTTTGGCCCAGGCCTCAATCTCCGTTGCTTACATAATGCTCTAAGAACTTTCATCATTATCTGTGAGAAGATCTTTGGTCTGATTGGGAGATCAAATAAATGTTAAAACTTTTATATCAAATTATTTTTATGTTAGAAAAAAGATCAAAAATCTAACTCAACTTGCATACAATTCTGTGAGCCTCTTTATAGCAATGTAGGAAGTATTGTCCAACCTCCATAGTCAAGGACAAATTTTAAGGAGTCACTGACCAAAGAAGGCTGTTCCCTTGCTACATAGTTTACTTGGCTACTTCTAAGCTGAACTATGCCTCCTTGAAATAGTCACCCATTGTTTATGATTTGTCCTCTGCAGATACTTACAATAATGTTAACTTATTTCTATGAATGGCAGCTAGCCTTTAGTTATTGAAATAAAATGATCATATCTCTTTATGGGTCTTATTTTCCTTCGAATTATTTAATATATATTTTATGGCAATGTTTCTGGAATTTTCTCTGTCCTAATTACCATCTTAGGTGTGTTTGTTCTTAGCCTCAGGTCATACATCTGCCCCTCAGCTGTAGACGAGCTGGTTGGCTGCAGCCACCACACATAACTAACTTTGTCTCTCTGTCTCTACACACTTTTCTTTTCTACTTTTGTTATTCCTCACAATTAGTATTTATCTTGCCTACAAAACCTCAGCTTATTATTTATCCCCTGGGAGGCTTCCCTACCTAGCTGTCAATGACTGATTCCTGTTTGAATTTACTTCTCTGTCAGTTTGCCCTGGGATCATTGATTAGAATGGCAGCATAGTGAGGCTGGGAAGGACACAGGCTCTAGAGTCAGACTGCCTAGGTTGAGACCATGGCTTTGCCAATTTATAATGTTGGGGAAATCGCTTTGGGTCTCACGATTTAATCTCTAAAATGGCAACAATAATAGCATACACCAAAAGGTTTGTGTGAGCACCAAACGCCCACAGTGAAGTTCTGGATGTATAAGTGGTCAATATGTGTAGGCTGTTAAACATCTAGTCAAGTCCCCTCACATTACAAACAAAGAAACAGAGGCCCAAAGAAGTAAAATCTCAAGATGTAGGTTGCATAAGCTATGAGGCAGGAACTGTATCCAAAATACCTTAAGTCTCCCATTTAGGGTTTTGTCTTTTGAATTATCTGGGTTCTAGTTTTAATATTTCCTTTGTACTGTGAGTTTATACACCAGTGACTTAGGAAATAGATCGACGCCTTCTTTACTCTGTATGATCCCCATGGGCTTTCTGTTCCACTCTTCCATCCACTCCTACCTCTTACCCTTCCACCGTACTCCACCGTATATTTTTCCTGATGCCAAGGTACATATTAGGAATTTTCTCCCTATTTCCTAGTTTAGGTCTATTTTAGGAATATATTGCCGTTTACACTCTTAGTTATTCTCTGCATTTAGTCTCTCTCCCATGCTCACATGGTCAGGGTTTGTGTGCTGCATCTTTGTCCTCTCCATATAATCTTTGTCCTGTCTCTCATGCTGGATTCTGATGCTATGGCCCACTTTCACCAGTGCATGGTTTCCATGAATTCTTCTGCCTCAGAATCTTTCTTTGGTATTTAAAATATTTTTAGAGAAAATTGACAGATATTACTCATAAGAAAGAGGGTAGAGTCCTACATCTATAGTACAAAGGAGACACTTACATCTACAGGTAGTTTTAGTACAATCCCATGTTCCTCATATCCCATCAAAGTCTAAAGAGGAGAGAGAAATAGGCAAACATTTAAAAACTATCAGATAGCGTATTTCTCCTAGATCTTACTGGGGAAAGTCCAGGGGCCATTTGCTTTTAAAGATGAAAGACAGCTCTGCCTGGTCTGTGAGCTGGAAGTAATTGTACAGCCCCGATCTTAGCAGCTCTGTGCCGTTGACAGCACAGGCTCCAGCAAAATCCCTGGGTCTTATACAGTTGTGGTGCCTCAGGGGATTGAGACCTTGGGGGAAGGTTCTTCCTTGGACTCTAGGCATTGAAAATGTAATATTCAACCTTAAAGGAAGAAAGAAAAAAAAACTGAGTAGCTAAATTATGTGGTTTACTTGATCGGGTAAAAGATGAATAGCTTAAATATTGTAATTTTTTGCATTGGTCATTCATTTTGGAGCAAGATTACATTTGCTGAATGAAGTGATGATTGTGACTTTCTTAATCATTAGCTTTATAGATGCTAAATATAGATGAACTATTTTAAGGAATAAAATAAATGACATTCTTGACAATTTTTTCGTCCTTCTTAAAGTTGTTAGTTGAATTATGAGATTATTTTTTCTATAACTCTCTTGCTTTATGAATAAGGTGTACTGGAATCATAAGAGGGCATACACTCTAACATTTTCTACATTCCACTACATGCTTGATTTATCTCTTCAAATACATTAATCAACGTAGACGTTCATCAGGGCATTCATTAGTCCATTAATTTAATGAATATACATTGAGTACCTATAATACTTCAGGCACTCTGGTGAGGGTTTTGGTGGGGAAGGTGGCACAATGATGGCTTCATCTGTACCAATGGTGATTTATGAGCCCGTATACATCTGAGCCTCCTGAAGTGCACGTGAAGATGCATATTTTGGGGCTTTACCCTAGGATCTCCTAAATAAGAAATATTTTAGGTGGAGCTTGGAATATTTTGCAATCAGTTTATGTGATTTCTTTGATTTTCAGAAAGTTTAGAGCTACTGACTTCTTTCTGATAAAAGCTTGATGTTTAGAAGATGAGATAAATAAATAAATAATTAATTACAGAAAGCAAAGAGGGCTAAGCTAGGGACAAGCACAAGGCACTACAGCATTACTGAGAGGAAGTACAGTTCTCACATTTAGTACCAAAATGAGTGGGTCTCAAACTCCTTAAACTCCCCTTACACCTTTCCAATCCAATCCAACAATATTTATTTTCTTTTCTTTCTTTCTTCCTTTTTTTTTGAGACAGAATTTCGCTTTGTTGCCCAGGCTGGAGTGCAGTAGCACAATCTCGTCTCACTTCAACCTCTGCCTCCCACGTTCAAGTGATTCTCAGGTCTCAGCCTCCCAAGTAGCTGGACACAGGCACGCACCATTACACCTGGCTAATTTTTGGTATTTTTAGTAGAGATGGGGTTTTGCCGTGTTTCCCAGGCTGGTCTCAAACTCCTGAGCTCAGGCAATCTGCCCTTCAAAGTGTCAGTATTACAGGCATGAGCCACCACGCCCGGCCACCAATATTTCCTTTTGCGAAGGATTCAGAATTTTTTTTTGTGGTATTAAAAAAAAATCATATATTTACTGTGTTTCAATTTTTAATTCTGAGAAATATGAGATTTTCAATTAATATATGTGTAATATGGACTAATACAAGTAAATTTTCATGACATATGAGTCTCATTATTCCAATGTTAATGTGATTTCTGTAGAGAAAGAAACGTATATTTGGAACTAAGAATTATTTACATTGATGGGTCATTTTAGACATCAAAGGGCTGAAGGGCTATCACAGCAAACCTTTTTTTCTACCCGTTTTTCATATTAGTCATCATCCATTCATTAGCTCAGTATCATTTCTATTTTACAGAAGAAACTCAAGGATCTCACAGTAGTCCTGTTGGGCTGAGGAGAGGAAAACTGAAGTTTGAAGAGGCTGAAGCAACTATAATTAATGGAGCAAAATACTGGAGAGGAAGATCAATTTAGAGGAAGAGTTCCAGAAACATCCATATGGGTACCTTTGCATAATGAGCTGATTACTGACATGTGTAAGCATAAGGTGAAACTCTGTAAGACTGGGCAAAAGAGTACTAGGAGGCTCTTAGCTAAATAATTCCTAGAACTCACAGGAGGTTGGAAGATGTTTGAGTCTGAACAAGCCGAGGTGGATAAATGTCAGAGAACAACTGAGACCTCCAGTAAAGGTCTCAAAATCCCATGACTTAGTAATAAAGATAAGCTACGTCTCAGTAAAGCCCACTCTCAAACTGCCTTAACTATACTTAAATATAAGCTTCACCTGACATATTCTATGTGGTCCATTGATTTTCAACAGACGTGTAAGGCATTTTAGTTTGAACAACGAATGATGCCAGAGCAACTAAGAATCCTCATGTAAAAAAAACACTGTAAACATTAAACCTTCCTGAATGCCATAGATTAACTCAGGATAGATCATACACCTAAATATAAAAATTAAAACAGTAAACATTTTATGAGAAAATATTTGTTACATTAGGATGTTTTCTTTTTAAAGAGCACAAGAAACACAAACCAAAGGGAAAAAACTAGATACATTAAATATCAAAACATCAAACTTAAAAGCTTGTGCTTTAAAAAATATAACATTAAGAAAATTAAAATACAAGCTACAGATTGAGAAAAATATTTGTATGATGTGTATTGCATATGGCATTTTTTATATCCAGAATATATAAAGAATTCTGACAAATAAATAATTAGAAGTCCAATTACCC